TGACCAACAGAAAATACTGGAAGGGTTTGGTGGGCAGTGTCCTTTGGTTTTGGAGTTGTAGTTCACCTACATCCAGAGACCACTGTGGACTCAAACAATGATGGATCTGGACACGATTACTCAATATGCCCAAATGTGAACACTGGTAGAGTTTGGGGAAAATAGAATCTTGACATTTGGGAGTTGTAGTTGCTGGGATTTATAGTTCACCTACAATCAAAGAGCATTCTGAACCCCACCAACGATGGAATTGAACCAAACTTGGCACACAGTTCTCCCATGAACAACAGAAAATACTGGAAGGGTTTGGTGGGCAGTGTCCTTTGAGTTTTGGAGTTGTAGTTCACCTACATCCAGAGATCACTGTGGACTCAAACAATGATGGATCTGGACCAAACTCTACACAAATACTCAATATGCCCAAATGTGAACACTGGTAGAGTTTGGGGAAAATAGAATCTTGACATTTGGGAGTTGTAGTTGCTGGGATTTATAGTTCACATACAATCAAAGAGCATTCTGAACGCCACCAACAATGGAATTGAACCAAACTTGGCACACAGTTCTCCCATGACCAACAGAAAATACTGGAAGGGTTTGGTGGGCAGTGTCCTTTGGTTTTGGAGTTGTAGTTGAGGAGAGGAAGGCGTCGTAGCTCCTTTCTGCCTCGAGGCCAAAATAACCTGAGATTCTTGCTTTGGCTGCCAAAGGGATGAGCTGGCAAGCTAAGTAAACAACCTGCTATTTTTACCATTTGGAAGCCAGCTGTATGCAGCTTTATTATTGGAAGCCAACCTCGCTTTGAAGAGGTGACCTTTGGCCAAAAGGAAGGCGTCTGTAAAAAAAAAAAAAGCACATTAATACTGCATTTTTTCTTAATATTTTGTGTATATTGCTTATTATGTTGTTTATTTTATTGCAACTTGTATTTTATTTTATTGTAGTTTGTTTTTTGGGCTTGGCTTCATGTAAGCCGCCCTAGGTAATTTTCAACGGTAAGCAAACAGTATTTTGGCGCCCCCCCCCCCCAACCAATCATTAATATATATATATATTTTCTGTTCGTCGTGGGAGTTCTGTGTGCCATGTTTGGTTCAATTCCATCATTGGTGGAGTTCAGAATGCTCTTTGATTGTAGGTGAACTATACATCCCAGTATGGAGCCCCCGGTGGCGCAGTGGGTTAAAGCACTGAGCTGCTGAGCTTGTTGATAGAAAGGTCGCAGGTTCGATTCCGGGGAGCGGCGTGAGCTTCCGCTGTCAGCCCTAGCTTCTGCCAACCTAGCAGTTCGAAAACATGCAAATGTGAGTAGATCAATAGGTACCGCTCCGGCGGGAAGGTAACGGCGCTCCATGCAGTCATGCCGGCCACATGACCTTGGAGGTGTCTACGGACAACGCTGGCTCTTCGGCTTAGAAATGGAGATGAGCACCACACCCCAGAGTCAGACACGACTGGACTTAATGTCAGGGGACTACCTTTACCTATACATCCCAGTAACTACAACTCGCATATGTCAAGGTCTATTCCCCCAAGAGCGCCCCTAGGCAACATCAAATGTACCGCAAATGCTTACTTTGCGTAAGGGCTGAGCCGCCCCTGGCCCCAAGTCCCCATTGAGGGAGATGGTGGCGGGGTATAAATAAAGATTATTATTATTACTATTATTATTATTATTATTATTATTATTAATACAAAACCAGAGTTTGTCACAACAAACGAGCTCTATATCCTGGATTTCGTATCACAAAATCTCAAGTCAAACAGTTCCCAAGCGTCTAGGACTGTGTGATGTATTATTATTATTATTATTATTATTATTATTATTATTATTATTGGTACAAAAGCACAGTATGTCACAGCAAACGAGCTCTATATGCTGGATTTCGTATCACAAAATCACAAGTCAAACATTTCCCAAGCAGCTAGGACTGTGTGATGAATTATTATTATTATTATTATTGATACAAAAGCACAGTATGTCACAGCAAATGAGATCTATATGCTGGACTTTGTATCACAAAATCACAAGTCGAACACTTCCCAAGCGTCTAGGACTGTGTGATGTATTATTATTATTATTATTATTATTATTATTATTATTATTATTATTATTTTACTGACACAAAAGCACAGTCTGTCATAACAAACGAGATCTATATGCTGGATATCGTATCACAAAATCACAAATCGAACACTCCCAAGTGTCTAGGACTGTGTGATGTATTATTATTATTATTATTATTATTATTATTGATACAAAACCACAGTATGTCACAGCAAATGAGAAATATATATTGGATTTCGTATCACAAAAATCACAAGTCAAACACTTCCCAAGCGTCTAGGACTGTGTGATGTATTATTATTATTATTATTATTATTATTACAAAAGCACAGTATGTCACAGCAAACGAGATCTATATACTGGATTTCGTATCACAAAATTACAAGTCGAACACTTCCCAAGCGTCTAGGACTGTGTGATGTATTATTATTATTATTATTATTATTATTATTATTATTATTGGTACAAATGTATAGTATGTCACAGCAAATGAGATCTATATGCTGGATTTCGTATCACAAAATCACAAGTCGAACACTTTCCAAGGATCTAGGACTATGTGATGTATTATTATTATTATTATTATTATTATTATTATTATTATTTTACTGACACAAAAGCACAGTATGTCACAGCAAATGAGCTCTATATGCTGGATTTCGTATCACAAAATCACAAGTCGAACACTTCCCAAGCATCTAGGACTGTGTGATGTATTTTTAAATGATGCGCGCAGATCCAATTATTATTATTATTATTATTATTATTATTATTATTATTATTATTATTATTATTATTATTTCTGGGAAGCAGAGGCGCATGGGAGTTGCAGTTTTAAAGGTCTTTCACCTTCCCCGCCTCGCCGAACTACAAATCCCAATATTCCATCTCATTGAGCCACTGCAGTTAAAGTGGTATCAAATTGCATTTGTTGGCAAGGGCCAGAAATGACATGAAAGCATACAGTAAGAGATAATTTAGAATTTGGGCATCTAATCAGATTTTCAGCTTCCGCAAATATAGCACTGTAGCACCTCCTAGTGGGCCTTGAATGGGAAACGCAGCGGAGAAATTCCAGATTTATTTATTTCCTAGCTTGGGTATTTAGGTTATTGGGTTGTTGTAGGATTTTTTGGGCTATATGGCCATGTTCTAGAGGCATTTCTCCTGACGTTTCGCCTGCATCTATGGCAAGCATCCTCAGAGGTAGTGAGGTCTGTTGGAACTAGGAAAATTGGGTTTATCCCCTCCCCAGTGCCAGAGATGCAACTTAATGATGTAACATTAGAAAATGTTGACCATTTCTGCTACCTTGGCAGCCACCTCTCCACCAAAGTCAACATCGACACCGAAATACAACACCGCCTAAGCTCTGCGAGTGCAGCCTTTTCCCGAATGCAGCAGAGAGTGTTTGAGGACGGGGACATCCGTAGGGATACCAAGGTGCTTGTTTATAAAGCTATTGTCCTTCCAACCCTGCTCTATGCCTGCAAAACGTGGACTGTCTACAGACGTCACATGCAACTCCTGGAACGATTCCATCAGCGCTGCCTCCGGAAAATCCTGCAAATATCTTGGGAAGACAAGCGGACAAATGTCAGTGTGCTAGAGGAAGCAAAGACCACCAGCATTGAAGCGATGGTCCTCTGCCATCAACTCCGCTGGACCGGCCACGTTGTCCGGATGCCTGACCACCGTCTCCCAAAGCACTAAACTTGGCATATAGAACTCCCATTACTAATAGAAAATACTGGAAGGATTTGATGGGCATTGAGTTTTGGAATTGTAGTTCACCTGTATCCAGAGAGCACTGTGGACTCAAACAATGATCAATCTGGACCAAACTTGTCATGAATGCTCAATATGGCCAAAGAGTGGTGGAGTTTGGTGAAAATAGACCTTCACATTTGGGAACTATAGTTGCTGGGAATTGAAGTTCACCTGTAATCAAAGGGCATTCTGAACCCCACCAATGATAGAATTGAGCCAAACTTACCTAAAAGGAGCCCCATGGTCAGCAGATGTTCTTTGGTGACCCGTCTGATACCCCTCTTGCAAACTGCTCAGGGGTCCCAACGATGGCGAAATCGCGAGGTGGGCAAGGGGACTTTGGGAGAAGTCAGGCCACGCGCCGAGATCCCTTCACCTGCCTCGTGCCCTCACCAAATGACAAAATCGCGAGGCGGGCGAGGGGTCTTTGGTCGAAGTCAGGCCTCGCGCCAAAGACCTCTCCCCCGCCTCGTGACCTCACCAAATGGCGAAATCGCGAGGCAGGCGAGGGGCCTTCGAGCGAAGTCAGGCCTCGGGCCAAAGACCCCTCCCTGCCTCGCGAGCTCGCCAAATGGCGAAAGCGCGAGGCGGGAGAGGGGGCTTTGCACGAGGCCTTGGGGCGGGGCCAACGGAGGCAGCCTCGCGACCCCTCCGAAATGGCCAGGCGACCCCCCTGGGGGTCGCGACCCCCAGGTTGAGAACCGCTGCTCCAAAAGCAGTCAGTCTGTGGTCGGTGAACTGCAGAAGTGGCTGGTTCTGTTGTGTGTGGAGAACCAGTGAGATGCTTATTAATTCTCTCTTAACGTGTTTGGTTTAAATTCACACATCTTTATGGTTTTTAATCTTAGCCGCTTTTGAGTCTCCTTTGGCAGAGAATAAAGAGGGTATAAAAACATAAAGTAAGTGTTTCGTATTTTATTCAAACTGAAACACAACATGAAACACAGGGTCTGATCCGAGGTCTTTATTGTAATGACAAGTGCAAACAAACCAATTATAAGGAATTTAAGAAAACCAGTAGGCACTATATACACATTGGTAATTGGGATTCACAATTTGGAAACCTGGCATAGTGTTAATTTGGAGCACAGAAAAAGGGGGAAAAGGCACTTCCACCCAAACAAAGAGGGACAAAACTCTGGGGAAATACATCCACTTGCACAGTCATAATCCGCTCCTGCTTATATATTAATACTAGTATTTTGTAGTGATAAAATATTAGAAATAGTCATGGATTTGGTTTTGAATGTTATGAATGGTCCCATTAGAAATCCCATTGGATGTGAGTGAAGTACAATTCCCACCATCCCCTATCAATGCCCCCAAAATCAACTGGTATTTTATGCTGATCGTGATAGGTCTGTGTTGTCAAGTTTGGTCTGTGTTGTCAAGTTTGGTTCGGATCCATTTCCGGATGTAGTTGGACTCAAACTCCCATAATCCTCCACCTTTGCCTTGCAAATTTTGCCAATATTATACATTAGTTACGATGGGTCTGTGTTGACGTTGGAATTTAGACATCACTCCAGAAAGGGTGGACTATACATATCTAGTTTTCCCAAAGTTTCCGCTTCAAAATCAAATCTTAGCACAATACCCTCTTTCTCCTTTTTAAGGCTCTTTGAAAAGCCGTGATTCCCCCAAATCCACAGACCCTTTTTGACGCTTTTCCTCTTAAGTTTCCCACCCAATGTCTCAGAGTAGTGTACAACTTGCATGCTATGTTGAGCCATAAACCCACCCCAGACTGACTTAAAAGACTTAAATCCATTTTGGGATTCAGGGCAAGTATCACAACAATCCCATTCCCTAAGAATAAGACAATACAGTGTAAATATGGCCAGCCAAAGGGTGATCAGTCATTTCCAGGATCTCCACAAAACAGAATAAGGCACATAAGAGTGACACACGTTTGGACCAAAATAATAAAGTTTGCGGGGAGTTTTTAGCCCTCAAACTTTGTAATACGCCAGCCGACTTGAGATGATTTGATCGAACTCTGGCAGAGAAAAAGAGAGAGTGACAATCAACGTGTTGGCAATTCAGTCTTTATCCCGAAGCAAAGGATGCTTGGTCCCATCGTCCCTGATCCAAAAGGATATCAGCCTTGTTCCAAGTTTTCGGCGGCTCGGACGGCCGAGTAGGAAGTGGGCGCATTGGAAAGTTGGCGGCCGAAGAAGGAGGTGGTCCGGCGGGGTTTCACCCTCTTGATTTCTTTCCCTGCAACAAAAGAGGAGAATAATAATAATACTAGTCCAATGTGGGCTAGGCAAAACTACGGTGAGGTGGATCTGTAATTGGTTAAGTGGACGAACACAGAGGGTGCTCACTAATGCTTCCTCTTCATCTTGGAAAGAAGTGACAAGTGGAGTGCCACCAGCAGGGTTCCGTCCTGGGCCCGGTCCTGTTCAACATCTTTATTAATGACTTAGATGAAGGGCTAGAAGGCAGGATCATCAAGTTTGCAGACGACACCAAATTGGGAGGGATAGCCAAGAGTCCAGAGGACAGGAGCAGGATTCAAAACGATCTTGACAGATTAGAGAGATGGGCCAAAACTAACAAAATGAAGTTCAACAGTGACAAATGCAAGATACTCCACTTTGGCAGAAAAAATGAAATGCAAAGATACAGAATGGGTGACGGCCTGGCTCGAGAGCAGTACGTGTGAAAAAGATCTTGGAGTCCTCGTGGACAACAAGTTAAACATGAGCCAACAATGTGATGTGGCGGCAAAAAAAGCCAATGAGATTTTGGCCTGCATCAAGAGGAGCATAGTGTCTAGATCTAAGGAAGTAATGCTCCCCATGCTCTATTCTGCTTTGGTTAGACCACACCTGGAATATTGTGTCCAATTCTGGGCACCACAATTCAAGAGAGATATTGACAAGCTGGAATGTGTCCAGAGGAGGGCGACTAAAATGATCAAGGGTCTCGGAGAACAAGCCCTATGAGGAGCGGCTTAAGGAGCTGGGCATGTTTAGCCTGAAGAAGAGAAGGCTGAGAGGAGATATGATAGCCATGTATAAATATGTGAGAGGAAGCCACAGGGAGGAGGGAGCAGATCAAGGGTCTGGAGAACAAGCCCTATGAGGAGCGGCTTAGGGAACTGGGCATGTTTAGCCTGAAGAAGAGAAGGCTGAGAGGAGATATGATAGCCATGTATAAATATGTGAGAGGAAGCCACAGGGAGGAGGAGGGAGCAAGCTTGTTTTCTGCTTCCTTGGAGACTAGGACGTGGAACAATGGCTTCAAACTACAAGAGAGGAGATTCCATCTGAACATGAGGAAGAACTTCCTGACTGTGAGAGCCGTTCAGCAGTGGAACTCTCTGCCCCGGAGTGTGGTGGAGGCTCCTTCTTTGGAAGCTTTTAAACAGAGGCTGGATGGTTATCTGTCAGGGGTGATTTGAATGCAATATTCCTGCTTCTTGGCAGGGGGTTGGACTGGATGGCCCATGAGGTCTCTTCCAACTCTTTGATTCTATGATTCTATGATTCTAATAATAATAATAATAATAATAATAATAATTGGAGAACTGCAAAAGCCGAAGAACTAATCTTCACATGATGTGGATTGACTACAAAAACCGTGCTCTGACCTACAAGAAGCATGGCCTGAACATCAAGCAAAAAGTGGGTGCTAGAAACAACATTTGGGTCCAGGCTCACCTTCCTCCACGTAGTCGATGGTTGCAAGGTGCTGGATGCGGCTGCAGGTCACACTGTTCTGCCGCTGCAGTTTGTGGGGCTGCCGGTTGAAAGGGGGTTTTCGGGGTTCGGAGGAAGGAGGAGCTTCCCGGGGAGCGGGTTCGGGATCCTGTCCCTCCAAAGACGAGTTCAGTTCAATGCAATACTCGATCAAACTGCTCATGAGCTCAGCCTGAAAAGAAAGGAAGACGGAAAGAGCTGTGAAAATCCTATATCCCTCATGATTGAAATTGGTGACCCTCTAATGCTGGACTACAACTCCCATGAGAAACAGCTAGGGATGATGGGGTTTGCAGTCTAATCTAGTCTGTAACTCTTCCTTGTATTATTAGTTTCCTGTTTGGGGATCACACAATCACAGAATATATACGTTGAGCATTCCTTATCCTAAATCCTTGTCAGATTTTGGAATATCTATATTTGTTGTTATTGTTACTGTTTATTGTTTACTTTTGTTTATGAGATTTATTTTAACTGTTGTATTGATTGTTTTCTTATTGCTTTTCTGTTGATGTACTTTGGGCTCGGCCTCATGTAAGCCGCACCGAGTCCCTTGGGGAGATTTTATATTTATCGTGTCATCCGCAACCATACCATTGTATTTCAATTCTAACAGAGCAAAACAAACACACAGATTAAAAAGAAAAAGAGAAAGAAAACACACATTTTGCAAGCTTGGTAGTTGGTTAAATGTCCTTTGACCAGTATCTGGCCCCTTGGAGTGCCTCTGGTGTTGCCGCAAGAAGGTCCTCCATCGTGCATGTGGCAGGGCTCAGGGTGCATTGCAGCAAGTAGTCAGTGGTTTGCTCTTCTCCACACTCGCATGCCGAGGATTCCACCCTGTAGCCCCATTTCTTAAGACTGGCTCTGCATCTCGTGGTGCCAGAGCACAGTCTGTTCAACGCCTTCCAAGTCGCCCAGTCTTCTGTGTGCCCAGGGGGGAGTCTCTCATCTGGTATCACCCATGGATTGAGGTTCTGGGTTTGGGCCTGCCACTTTTGGACTCTCGCTTGCTGGGGTGTTCCAGCAAGTGTCTCTGTAGATCTTAGAAAACTATGTCTGGATTTAAGTCGTTGACGTGCTGGCTGATACCCAAACAGGGGATGAGCTGGAGATGTCACTGCCTTGGTTCTTTCACTATTGGCTGCTACTTCCAGGCGGATGTCGGGTGGTGCAATACCAGCTAAGCAGTGTAGTTTCTCCAGTGGTGTAGGGCGCAGACACCCCGTGATAATGCGGCATGTCTCATTAAGAGCCACATCTACTGTTTTAGTGTGGTGAGATGTGTTTCACACTGGGCATGCGTACTCAGCAGCAGAGTAGCATAGCGCAAGGGCAGATGTCTTCACTGTGTCTGGTTGTGATCCCCAGGTTGTGCCAGTCAGCTTTCGTATGATGTTGTTTCTAGCGCCCACTTTTTGCTTGATATTCAGGCAGTGCTTCTTGTAGGTCAGAGCACGGTCCAAAGTGACTCCCAGGTATTTGGGTGCGCTGCAATGCTCCAGTGGGATCCCTTCCCAGGTCATCCTCGGAGCTCGGGATGCTTGTCTGTTCTTAAGGTGAAAGGCGCATGTCTGTGTTTTAGATGGATTAGGGATCAGCTGGTTTTCCCTGTAATAGGCAGTAAGAGCACCTAGAGCTTGGGAGAGCTTCTGTTCAACCATCTCAAAGCAACCTGCTTGAGCGGTGATGACATGATCATCAGCATAGATGAAACCCTCTGTCCCTTCTGGCAGTGGCTGATCATTTGTGTAGATGTTGAACATGGATAAAGCAAGTATACTCCCCTGAGGCAGGCGGTTCTTCTGTTTCCGCCATCTGCTTCTCTGGCTCTGGAACTCAACAAAGAAGCTCCTGTTTTGTAGCAAGTTTCCTATGAGGCGGGTGAGGTGGTCGTCCTTTGTGATATTCTACATTTTTCCAAAGTACAAGGGAGAGAGCCACCGAGGAGAAGGCTCTCTCCCTTGTACCCACAAGATGGGCTTGTGAGATTGGTCAAGGTGACAGGAGGACCTCCCCCGAAGGTCGAAGGGTCCTGGTTGGTACATGGAGAGAGATGCGGTCACAAAGGTAGGCGGGTCCCAAACCATTTAGGGCTTTATAGGTGACAGTGAGCTGGGCTGATAATCAGGTGCTCACACTGACCCCGGCTTTGAACTGGCAACCTTTCAGTTGGTGCTAGTGGTGATGTACCAGCTGTGCTACAGCCCGGCCCTAGGCAAACACATGCACTAAAATTCCACAGATTAACTGTGGCTTCTTATTATGCCTGAACCAGGAAACTGGGGTGAAAGGGGCTTCCAAATACACCATAATATGAAGCCATAGGTTGAAACCGGCACCTGGGTCCTACCTGCTTGGAGTAGACCTTGAGCAGCTTGTTGACTGGCGTGCCTTCGTTCTCCCCGTCAAACTCCAGCCACAAAATGTGCTCCTCCTCGCTTGGAAAAGTGTGATCCCAAGAGAGTTCCTGGAACCGTAGGCCCAGTAAGACATGCTGCCAAAGAGAGAAGGATGGGATGAAAAAACAACAACACAAAACTCTCCAGCAAGGTCTAGATCAGTGTTTCTCAAACTGGGAGTCGGGACCCTTGCGGGGGGGGGGGGGGGGGGGGGGGGGGGGGGGGGGGACCAAAGATAATAAAAAAACACAGTATTTTCTGTTAGACGTAGGGGTTCTGTGTGAGAAGTTTGGCCCAATTCTATCGTTGGTGGGGTTCAGAATGTTCTTTGATTGTAGGTGAACTATAAATCCCAGCAACTACAACTCCCAGATGTCAAGGTGTATTTTCCCCAAACTCCACCAGTGTTCACATTTGGGTGTATTGAGTATTCGTGCCAAGTTTGGTCCAGATCCATCACTGTTTGAGTTCAGAATGCTCTTTGATTGCTGGTGAACTATAAATCCCAGCAACTACAACTCCCAAATGTCAAGGTGTATTTTCCCCAAACTTCACCAGTGTCCACATTTGGGCATATTGAGTATTTGTGCCAAATTTGGTCCAGATCCATCAGTTTGAGTCCACAATGCTCTCTGGATATAGGTGAACTACAACTCCAAAACTCAAGGTCAAGGCCCATCAAACACTCCCATTACTTTCCGTTGTTCATGTGTGGGAAGTATGGCTTCTATCATTGGTGGGGTTCAGATTCCTCTTTGATTGTAGGTGAACTATAAATCCCAGCAACTACAACTCCCAAATATGTCAAGGTGTATTTTGCCAGAACTCCACCAGTGTTTACATTTGGGCATATTGAGTATCCATGCCAAGTTTGGTCCAGATCCATCATTGTTTGAGTCCAGAGTGCTCTCTAGATGTAGGTGAACTACAACTCCAAAACTCAAGGCCAATGTCTACCAAACTCTTCCAGTATTTTCTGTTGGCCATGGGAGTTCTGTATGTCAAGTATGGTTCATTAACATCGTTGGTGGAGTTCAGGATGCTCTTTGATTATAGGTGAACTATAAATCCCAGCAACTATAACTCCCAAATGTCAAGGGGTATTTTCCCGGAACTCCACCAGTGTTTACATTTGGGCATATTAAGTATTTGTGCCAAGTTTGGTCTAGATCCATCATTGTTTGAGTCCACAGTGCTCTCTAGATGTAGGTGAACTACAACTCCAAAACTCAAGGTCAAGGCCCACCAAATACTCCCATTATTTTCTGTTGTTCATGTGTGGGAAGTATGGCTTCTATCAATGGTGGGGTTCAGAATCCTCTTTGATTGTAGGTGAACTATAAATCCCAGCAACTACAACTCCCAAATGTCAAGGTATATTTTCCCCAAACTCCACCTTGCTCTTGTCCATAGCTACCTTTTCTTTGCTGTCGATGATGTAGACGCCTTCCAAGCTGATGGCGACCGTCACGGCTTTGCGTCCGCCCCGGTGAAGGAGGCCTTGGGCCGGCTTGTCAATTTCCCCGGAGAAAAAGGCACACCTAGAAGAGGCAATGGAGAGAAAAGTCAGCAGGGATGGTGTGACAAGGAGAATGGATTCAGGGTCCAGGAAAAGAGAATCCGCCTGAATTTTGAGAGCTGTTCAACGGTGGAACATCCTGCATGGGAGTCCTTTAGACGTGTCATCTCTGGAGGTTTTTCAACAGAAGCCGGGTGCATGGCAGAAGGGGTGAGACTGGATGATCGTTAGGTACCTCTGGACCAAACTCTCAATATGCCCAAATGTGAACACTGGTGGAGTTTGGGGGAAAATAGAATCTTGACATTTGGGAGTTGTAGTTGCTGGGATTTATAGTTCACCTACAATCAAAGAGCATTCTGAACCCCACCAACGATGGAATTGAACCAAAGTTGGCACACAGTTCTCCCATGACCAACAGAAAATACTGGAAGGGTTTGGTGGGCAGTGTCCTTTGGTTTTGGGAGTTGTAGTTCACCTACATCCATAGATCACTGTGGACTCAAACAATGATGAATCTGGACTAAACTCTACACGAATACGCAATATGTCCAAATGTGAACACTGGTGGAGTTTGGGGGAAAATAGAATCTTGACATTTGGGAGTTGTAGTTGCTGGGATTTATAGTTCACCTACAATCACAGAGCATTCTGAACCCCACCAACGATGGAATTGAACCAAACTTGGCACACAGAACTCCCATGACCAACAGAAAATACTGGAAGGGTTTGGTGGGCAGTGTCCTTTGGTTTGGGAGTTGTAGTTCACCTACATCCATAGATCACTGTGGACTCAAACAATGATGAATCTGGACTAAACTCTACACGAATACGCAATATGTCCAAATGTGAACACTGGTGGAGTTTGGGGGAAAATAGAATCTTGACATTTGGGAGTTGTAGTTGCTGGGATTTATAGTTCACCTACAATCACAGAGCATTCTTAACCCCACCAACGATGGAATTGAACCAAAGTTGGCACACATAACTCCCATGACCAAAGAAAATACTGGAAGGGTTTGGTGGGCAGTGTCCTTTGGTTTGGGAGGGGGGGGGGGGGGGGGGGTGGGTTGGGGGGGGGGGGAAAATACGGAAGGTTTGGTGGGCATTTTGGGTTTTGGAGTTGTAGTTCACCTACATCCAGAGATCACTGTGGACTCAAACAATGATGGATCTGGACCAAACTCTACACGAATACTCAATACGTCCAAATGTGAACACTGGTGGAGTTTGGGGAAAATAGATCTTGACATTTGGGAGTTGTAGTTGCTGGGATTTATAGTTCACCTACAATCAAAGAGCATTCTTAACCCCACCAATGATGGAATTGGTCCAAACCTCCCACACAGAACCCTCAACGTGTGGCAGGGGATGGCTAGTCTATATATATAAAAAATGTAATGTTCGTTTGTGGGATTAACAGAACTCAGAAACCACTGGACGAATTGACATGAAATTTGGACACAAGACACCTAACCATCCAATGAGTGTTCAATACCCCTAAAAATTCAAAACAAAACAAAACAAAACAAAACAAAAATAAACAAACCAGCCGAACAGACTTAAAATCCCCCAAAATACACCATATATATATACACAAGCACACGTACATACACGTATATCTATACCCAAGCGCACACAAATATATACATGCACACATATATCCAAATATGCATATAGAGAACCACACACATATACACAATATACATATACAATATATGCACACATAAATATATACACCCATATATATACATATACATATATATATATAGAGAGAGAGAGAATCATAGAATCAAGGAGTTGGAAGAGACCTCCTGGGCCATCCAGTCCAACCCCATTCTGCCAAGAAGCATTCATTCAAATCACCCCTGACAGATGGCCATCCAGCCTCTGTTTAAAAGCTTCCAAAGAAGGAGCCTCCACCACACTCCGGGGCAGAGAGTTCCCCTGCTGAACGGCTCTCACAGTCAGGAAGTTCTTCCTCATGTTCAGATGGAATCTCCTTTCTTGTAGTTTGAAGCCATTGCTCCATTGCGTCCTAGTCTCCAAGGAAGCAGAAAGCAAGCTTGCTCCCTCCTCCCTGTGGCTTCCTCTCACGTATTTATACATGGCTATCACATCTCCTCTCATCCTTCTCTTCTTCAGGCTAAACATGCCCAGCTCCTTAAGCCACTCCTCATAGGGCTTGTTCTCCAGACCCTTGATCATTTTAGTCACCTCCTCTGGACACATTCCAGCTTGTCAATATCTCTCTTGAATTGTGGTGCCCAGAATGGGACACAATATTCCAGGTGTGGTCTAACCAAAGCAGAATAGAGGGGTAGCATGACTTCCTTAGATCTAGACACTATGCTCCTCTTGATGCAGGCCAAAATCCCATTTGCTTTTTTTGCCGCCGCATCACATTCCTGGCTCATGTGTAACTTGTTGTCCACGAGGACTCCAAGATCTTTTTCACACGTCCTGCTCTCGAGCCAGGCCTCCCCCATTCTGTATCTTTGCATTTCGTTTTTTTCTGCCTAAGTGGAGTATCTTGCATTTGTCCCTGTTGAACTTCATTTTGTTAGTTTTGGCCATTCATCTCTCGAATCTGTCAAGATCGTTTTGAATCCTGCTCCTGTCCTCTGGAGTATCGACTATTCCTCCCAATTTGATCCCGTCTGCAAACTTGATCCTGCCTTCTAGCCCTTCATCTAAGTCATTAATAAAGATCCTGATCAGGACCGGTCCCAGGACGGAACCCCGAGGCACTCCACTCGTCACTTCTTTCCAGGATGAAGAGGAAGCATTGGTGATACACACTAGGCCTGTTTGATCAAGAAAAAATTTGTTTCTAAAATCGATTTGTAATTGGGGTGTTTTTTTGTTTCGATATTTAAAATAATTACAAAACTTTCCCAAAAAAGTTGGTATTTAAGAAATTTTGTAAATATTAACGAATTTTTAGAATATTTTTTGTATTTCTTAAGAATAATATTAAAATAATATTAAAAAATATTTTAAAATGGAAAATTAACCAAAAAATGGCCCAAATGTGGACCAAACACAGGCAGGATACAGCAAATGAGAGCACACACCAACAGAAGAGTCTTTTCTTTTTTAGGATATTTTTTAAGAATAATATTAAAAAATAATATTAAAAAATAATATTAAAAATAATATTAAAATAATATTAAAAATATTTTAAAATGGAAAATTAACCAAAAAATGGCCCAAATGTGGACCAAACACAGGCAGGATACAGCAAATGAGAGCACACACCAACAGAAGAGTCTTTTCTTTTTTAGAATATTTTTAAGAATAATATTAAAAAATAATATTAAAAATAATATTAAAAATAATATTAAAAATAATATTAAAATAATATTAAAAAATATTTTAAAATGGAAAATTAACCAAAAAATGGCCCAAATGTGGACCAAACACAGGCAGGATACAGCAAATGAGAGCACACACCAACAGAAGAGTCTTTTCTTTTTTAGAATATTTTTTAAGAATAATATTAAAAAATAATATTAAAAAATATTATTAAAAATAATATTAAAAAATAATATTAAAAATATTTTAAAATGGAAAATTAACCAAAAAATGGCCCAAATGTGGACCAAACACAGGCAAGAGACAGCAAATGAAGCAAGCAGCACTCACAGCAGCAAGGAATGAATCCAATCCCAGTTGCTAGCAGCCATTGCCAAGCCAACCCAATGCAAACTCCCTCGCCCTCTGCAGCAAGCTACGGGCCGCGCGGAGCCGCTTTGAAAGGGCTCGCCGGCCAATCAAAAACAGACAGCCACGGACCCATGGTGCACTGCTTGGGAGCGCCGGATTGGCTCCCAGGCACCAGCACTCCAGCAGCCTCCACCCCATTAACGAAACGAGCGGAGGCTCGTTAAAACTATGGGGGTTGCTGGTTCGATATTTAAAAACCCTTCCGGGTTTGGAAATATGTTTCAATATCGCTTCGGAAATGCCAAAATTAACGAATTAATAACGAATTAACGAATTAACGAACGAAACCGCACAGGCCTAATACACACACACACAAATATACACAGATACACAAATATATACACACACACAAAAGACATATATACAGACTGGGACACAGCAACACATGGCAGGGGACGGCTAGTTTAAGATAAAGGCTCTCATTCAGCCCCATGTTCCTCGGTAGGGACAGGACACCTACCCGTAGTAAGGCAGGAGGTGGCACTTCTGCAAATAAGCCCGGTAAAGCTGGCGCAATGCGGCACGGTCTTCACAAGCGCCGTCTTCCTCTGGAACCTGCTGGAAAGCGCGAAGAAGGCCCTGTTCGTCGGCAGGCAGTCGGGTGGCCCCACGTTTCCAAATTGCGGAGAGGAGGCCGTGGCCCCGTCGGCAAAGATGGGGAGGCAAGAAGGAGTCCAGTCGCTCTCTAGACAGGAGAAAACATCCATTTCGATAAAGTGGAATGCTGGAGTGGTTCAAATCTTACTCACCTTAGGTGGACACACTCTCTCGGCCTCAGAAGAAACCTTTTCTGAACAAGCCTCACCAGAAATCCCTAGTGATAGATTTGCCATAGGTTAAAAGTAAAGGTAAAGTTTTCCCCTGACATTAAGTCAAGTTGTGTCTGACTCTTGGGGGGGGGGGGGTAGTGTTCATCTCCATTTCTAAGCCAAAGAGCTGGTGTTGTCCATAGACACCTCCAAGGTCACGTGGCCAGCATGACTACATGGAGTGCCGTTACCTTTTCGCAGATGCAGAATTGATTGATCTACTTACATTTGCACGCTTTCGAACTGCTAGGTTGGCAGAAGCTGGGCCTAACAGCAGGAGCTCACCCCACTCCCCGGATTCGAAGGACCAACCTTTTGGTCAGCAAGTTCAGCAGCTCAGCGGTTTAACCCGGTGTGCCACTAGGGCCCCCCGCCATAGGTTGGGCAAGATTTAAAGTCATTGGACACCATTTTCACCGGGTTGTTGTAGGTTTTTCGGGTAGGCTTTATTTCTTAAAAGCATACATTGTGGTATGAAAACAAAATTCCAACTGACAGTTTTTTTCCCTCACGAACAAAGTGGGAAGGCTCACGAACAAAGTGGGAAGGCTTTATTTCTAAAAGCATACATTGTGGTATGCAAACAAAATTCCAACTGACAGAATCTTTCCTTCACCCTGACTCCTCCCCTTCCATGGAAACCCTCTCCCCTGTTTCAAAGAACATGGCCACACAGCCCAAAAAACCTACAACAACCCAGTGATTCCAGCCATGAAAGCCTTCAACAGAAGCTGACCTTCCAAAGTGGGAAGGCTCACGAACAAAGTGGGAAGGCTTTATTTCTAAAAGCATACATTGTGGTATGAAAACAAAACTCCAACTGACAGTTTCTTTCCCTCACGAACAAAGTGGGAAGGCTCATGAACAAAGTGGGAAGGCTTTATTTCTAAAAGCATACATTGTGGTATGAAAACAAAATTCCAACTGACAGTATCTTTCTCTCCCCTGACTCCTCCGCTTCATTGCTGCCATTTCCATGGAAACCCTCTCCCCTGTTTCAAAGAACATGGCCACACAGCCCAAAAAACCTACAACAACCCAGTGATTCCAGCCACGAAAGCCTTCAACAGAAGCTGACCTCACGAATCAAATGGGAAGGCTTTATTTCTAAAAGCATACATTGTGGTACGAAAACAAAATTCCAACTGACAGTATCTTTCCCTCACCCAGGATTCAATGCTATGGAATTGTGGGAGCTGTAGTTTGGTGAAGCAGCAGCATTCTAGAGAAGATGAAACTACAGATGCATAGAGCCATGGCGGTTCAAGTGGTGTAAAACTGCATTAATCCTACATTGTAGACACTTCTTATGCAGATATTGCCCTCCGTGGGTGCCTGCCTCCTGGCTTACTTCAAGAAGCAGGCCGTGTGCTGCTTGGGGTTGAAGGGACCCAGGTTGATGCGGCAGATCAAAGCCCCCAGCTCTTCGCAGTCGGCCAAATCCGACGGGTAGCGCCCTTCCAGGATGTTGTACTTGGCCTCCTCGAACAAGAGCCGAAGGACGTCCTCATCTTGGATCTTGAAAGAGAGGAAAGAACCCGCAAACTGAATCATAATCCAAACGGAAAGGTCTTCTTCTGATTTGGAGATTCGCATTGCCCTCCTTTTGTTTGGACCATCCCTCCCTAAATCTCGCCAGAGCTCACCTGCACTTCTTTCCGTTTCGGGAAAAAGATGTCCCGTCGGAACTGGAGTGATGGCTCGTCTGGAAGAGAGAAGAGACAACGGCTCAAACCTAAGCTTTCCGCAACAGGGAGTCTAGAAAGCTCCAACACAGAGGTATGAAAGGAACAAGGGATGGCCAGAATGCGGCCCGCCAAGGGCCAGAAGGTCTGAGAGCCGAAACGGGGCGCGCTAAGGGCCAAGGGTCGGAAGGGGGACTATCAAGGTAGGACAACCTATGGGGAAGCTTCCCAGAAACCCTCCACGTCCTTGCCACGTCCAATGGCAGGGACCAGATTAGTATTCCTGGTTGTTTTGAGATCCTTCTGTTGAGCAATGTTCTCTTGCTAGGCATGACTGTCTCGTTTGGTAACTTTTCGGTGAAGATATTGCCTCACAAACAAAGCGGGAATGCTTTATTTCTAAAAACATACAGTGTGGTATGAAAACAAAATTCCAACTGACAGTTTCTTTCCCTCACGAACAAAGTGGGAAGGCTCACAAACAAAGTGGGAAGGGTTTATTTCTAAAAGCATACAGTGTGGTACGAAAACAAAATTCCAACTGACAGTTTCTTTCCCTCACGAACAAAGTGGGAAGGCTTTATTTCTAAAAGCATATAGTATGGTATGAAAACAAAATTCCAACGGACAGTCTCTTTCCCTCATGAACAAAGTGGGAAGGCTTTATTTCTAAAAGCATACATTGTAGTATGAAAACAAAATTCCAACTGACAGTTTCGATCCCTCACGAACAAAGGGGGAAGGCTTTATTTCTAAAAGCATACAGTGTGGTATGAAAACAAAATTCCAATGGACAGTCTCTTTCCCTCATGAACAAAGTGGGAAGGCTTTATTTCTAAAAGCATACATTGTAGTATGAAAACAAAATTCCAACTGACAGTTTCGATCCCTCACGAACAAAGTGGGAAGGCTCAGAAACAAAGTGGGAAGGCTTTATTTCTAAAAGCATACATTGCGGTATGAAAACAAAATTCCAACTGACAGTTTCTTTCCCTCATGAACAAAGTGGAAAGGCTTTATTTCTAAAAGCACACATTGTGGTATGAAAACAAAATTCTAACAGACAGTTCTTTCCCTCATGAACAAAGTGGGAAGGCTTTATTTCTAAAAGCACACATTGTGGTATGAAAACAAAATTCCAACTGACAGTTTCTTTCCCTCACGAACAAAGTGGGAAGGCTCACAAAGTGGGAAGGCTCACAAAGTGGGAAGGCTTTATTTCTAAAAGCATACATTGTGGTATGAAAACAAAATTCCAACTGACAGTATCTTTCCCTCACCCTGACTCCTCCCCTTCATTGCTGCCATTTCCATGGAAACCCTCTCCCTTGTTTCAAATATACACAGGCCAGGTCTAAGGCAGCCTCTAGAATCATAGAGTTGGATGAGACTTCATGGGCCATCCAGTCCAACCCCCTGCCAAGAAGCAGGAAAATGGCATTCAAAGCACACACGACAGATGGCCATCAAGCCTCTGCATAAAAGCCTCCAAAGAAGGAGCCTCCACCACATTCTGAGGCAGAGAGTTCCACTGCTGAACAGCTCTCACAGTCAGGAAGTTCTTCCTAATGTTCAGGTGGAATCTCCTTTGTTGTAGTTTGAAGCCATTGCTCCATTGTGTCCTAGTCTCCAGGGAAGCAGAAAACAAGCTTGCTCCCTCGTCCCTGCTCCCTCCTAAACTTGCCCAGTTCTTTAAGCCGCTGCTCATAGGGCTTGTTCTCCAGACCCTTGATCATTTTAGTTGCCCTCTGCGGAGTCCCAAAAATGTAAGGAGAAGGCTGATGGAATCAAGGGGTCATGAACAAATATAGTTCACATCCTCACCTTCGAGGATGTCGTCGGCAGAGCAGCTGGTGAATCGGAAGAGGAGGTCCTGCCATTGACGGCAAAGTTTGTACGGCTGGTGCTTTGGCTTCAGCTGCAGCTCTGCAAGACGGAGAGAAAAGGGGAGTCAAGGAAAATAACTGAGAGCAAGAGTACATCTATACCAGGCATGGGCAAATTTTGGCCCTCTGGGTGTTTTGGACTTCACCTCCCACAATTCCTAACAGCCTACCAGAGAATTCCCAGGGCTTTGAGTTTGAGAAAGGCTCGGCACCTGGGCCAGCTGCAGAAATTAATAAGCCAATAGATAGGAAAAGTGCTTTCAGTCAGCAAAGGAAAACAAACCAGGCTCTCAGGCGCTCTGCCAGATTGCAGGAGAGACTGATAGCAGATTCAAGGCTGAAACAAAATCCGTTCCTTGCTGCTTGGGATATAGAGTAGATTAGGGGATAAAAGTGTCAAGTACAGAATCTGTAGTCAGATGAAGCAATGTTTGAATTGTGTCAAGACATTGTCTAAGGTCTCTGGAAACCTTGCCTTGGATAGATTCCTGTATTAAGTACCTTGTGATTTCCATGCTACCAGAGAATTCCTAGGCTCGGTACCTGGGCCAGCTGCAGAAATAAATGAGCCAGTAGATAGGAATTGTCTTCCTAGAGAAGACAATTATGCTGGGGAAAGTGGAAGGCAAAAGGAAGAGGGGCCGACCAAGGGCAAGATGGATGGATGGCATCCTTGAAGCGACTGGACTGACCTTGAAGGAGCTGGGGGTGGTGACGGCTGACAGGGAGCTCTGGCGCGGGCTGGTCCATGAGGTCACGAAGAGTCGGAGACGACTGAACGAATGAACAACAACAAGATAGGAAAAATGCTTTCAGTCAGCAAAGGAAAACAAACCAGGCTGTCAGGTACTCTGCCAGGTTGCAGGAGAGACTGATAGCAGATTCAAGGCTGAGACAAAATCTGTTCCTTGCTGCTTGGGATATAGAGTAGATTAGGGGATAAAAGTGTCAAGTACAGAATCTGTAGTCAGACAAAGCAATGTTTGAATTGAGTCAAGACGTTGTCTAAGGTCTCTGGGAGCTTTGCCTTGGATAGATTCCTGTATCAAGTACCTTGTGATTTCCATGCTACCAGAGAATTCCTTGGCTCAGTACCTGGGCCAGCTGCAGAAATTAATGAGCCAGTAGATAGGAAAAATGTTTTCGGTCAGCAAAGGAAAACAAACCAGGCTGTAAGGTGCTCTGCCAGATTGCAGGAGAGACTGATAGCAGATTCAAGGCTGAGACCAAATCCGTTCCTTACCAAGAACAGGAGAGACCAGCCACAGGGCAAAGATTTCGTGCGCATCCTCTGGGAGCTGCAAGGTTTTCGACACGATGTGGTGCAACTCCTGTGCCGTGACGGAGGAGAGGTTGTCCACCGTTAAGCGCACTACCGTGTCGTCGACGAGGTACACCAGGACGTCGTGATCTGCGGGGAAAAATCGGAAAGGATCATCCACCCAGCTATCCATCTTTCCAAACTTATTTGAGCTGGAAAAGGAGCCCCTCTTCCCAGTTATGGGCCTCCTCTGCCATCGCTGGCCCCTTTCTACTCACTTCGGGGTCCGGCCGAGGAGATGCTGCTACGTTGAGACCGGTCCTCCGTGTTTTGGGGCACCGACAGCCTGTCCCCCTCCATCTGCAAAGATAATACGATCAATCACAATTCAACTATTGGCAGATTCGCTTCATAATCCAATTTTCTGGGTTGTTGCAGGTTTTTTGGACCGTACGGCCATGTTCCAGAAGCACTCTCTCCTGACACTTCACCTGCATCTACGGCAGGCATCCTCTGAAGTTGTGAGCTCTGTTGGAAACTAGGAAAATTGTGTTTATATATCTGTGGAATGATGTCCAGGGTGGGGGAAAGAACTCTTGTCTGTTGGAGGTAGGTGTGAATGTTGCACCTTGTTTAGCATTGAATGGCCTTGCAGCTTCAAAACAAACACAAAACCATCTATGTAATGAGAAAGTATAATATCAAAAGAGCAATTTAATTTGGTAAATTGCATACTATATGCTCTTTTGATATTATACTTTCTCATTACATAGATTGTTTTGTGTTTGTTCTGATACCCTACAAGTATTCTGGGATATTGCGTAGTAGTCTTGCAGCTTCAAAGCCTAGCTGCTTCCTGCCTGGGGGGAGGAAACCTCCAAAATCAGGACAGTAAATAAAGAACGACACTCATAAAATGGGAATTCCAGACAATCAGGGCCAGCTAACACCTCCCAGCAAAGGATTCCCCCAGGACAGGGAGCAGCCTGCAAGGATTTGGAGTCTACACAACTGTAGTAAAGACACAACAACTATTTACACACATGTGAAGAGTTGAGATCTCTCTCTCCCTCTCTATATATATATATCGGTGGAATGTCCAGGGTGAGAGAAAGAAGTCTTGTGTGTTGGAGGTAGGTGTGAATGTTGCAAATGGTCACCTTGGTTAGCATCAAATGGCCTTGCAGCTTCAAAGCCTGGCTGCTTCCTGCCTGGGGGGAAAAACCTCCAAAATCAGTTCAGTAAATAAAGAACAACACTCCGAAAACAGGAATTCCAGACATGAAACAATCAGGGCCAGCTAACACATCCCAGTAAAGCATTCCCCCAGACAGGGAGCAGCCTGCAAGGATTTTTGGAGTCTACTCATCTGTAGTAAAGACACAACAACTATTTACACACATGTGAAGAGTTGAGATCTCTCTCTCTATATCTATCCATCTATCCATCTATCTATCCTATCTATCTATCTATCTATCTATCTATCTATCTATCTATCTATCTATCTATCTGTGGAATGATGTTCAGGGAGGGAGAAATAACTCTTGTCTGTTGGAGGTAGGTGTGAATATTGCAAATGGTCCCCTTGATTAGCATTGAATGGCCTTGAAGCTTCAAAGCCTGGCTGCTTCCTGCCTGGGGGGAAAAACCTCCAAAATCAGTTTAGTAAATAAAGAACAACACTCCGAAAACAGGAATTCCAGACATGAAACAATCAGGGCCAGCTAACACATCCCAGTAAAGCATTCCCCCAGACAGGGAGCAGCCTGCAAGGATTTTTGGAGTCTACTCATCTGTAGTAAAGACACAACAACTATTTACACACATGTGAAGAGCTGATCTATCTATCCGTCTATCTATCCGTCTATCTATCCGTCTATCTATCCGTCTATCTATCCGTCTATCTATCTATCTATCTATCTATCTATCTATCTATCTATCTATCTATCTATCTATCTATCTATCTATCTATCTATCTGTGGAATGACCAGGGTGGGAGAAAGAACTCTTGTCTGTTGGAGGTAGGTGTGAATGTTGCAAATGGCCACCTTGGTTAGCATCAAATGGCCTTGCAGCTTCAAAGCCTGGCTGCTTCCTGCCTGGGGGGAAAAACCTCCAAAATCAGTTCAGTAAATAAAGAACAACACTCCGAAAACAGGAATTCCAGACATGAAACAATCAGGGCCAGCTAACACATCCCAGTAAAGCATTCCCCCAGACAGGGAGCAGCCTGCAAGGATTTTTGGAGTCTACTCATCTGTAGTAAAGACACAACAACTATTTACACACATGTGAAGAGTTGATCTATCTGTCTGTCTATCTATCTATCTATCTATCTATCTATCTATCTATCTATCTATCTATCTATCTATCTATCTATCTATCTATCTATCTGTGGAATGATGTCCAGGGAGGGAGAAAGAACTCTTGTCTGTTGGAGGGACAGCTAATCACCTCTCAACAAAGGATTCCCCTAGGCAGTAAGAAGCCACACCTTGAAACTGCTAGGCCATTATTAAAAAACCTCACAAACAGGGGAACTCCAGACAAGAAACAACCAGGGGCAGCTAATCACCTCTCAACAAAGGATTCCCCCAGGCAGTAAGAAGCCACACCTTGAACCTGCTAGGCCATTACACATGTCTGGAACCCAGAAAACTCACAACAACACACATTTAAAATATTTTTTGGGGGGATTTGTGGTGGCAATTAATTAATTATTAAATTAATGATTAAATCAATAATCATAAATTATTGCCTAATCTCTATTGTTCCAAGTATCAAAATACAGTCAAAGTGAATGAGAGGCAAGGAGGAGGCGTGGCCAAAGTGGTCTCTGGTCAAAGTGGTCTCTGGTCAAAGTGGTCCCTGGTCAAAGTGGTCCCTGATCGTAGTGGTCCCTGGTCAAAGTGGTCTCTGGTCAAAGTGGTCCCTGGTCAAAGTGGTCTCTGGTCAAAGTGGTCTCTGGTCAAAGTGGTCCCTGGTCGTAGTGGTCCTTGGTCATAGTGGTCCCTGGTCAAAGTGGTCCCTGGTCAAAGTGGTCTCTGGTCAAAGTGGTCCTTGGTCATAGTGGTCCCTGGTCAAAGTGGTCCCTGGTCAAAGTGGTCTCTGGTCAAAGTGGTCTCTGGTCAAAGTGGTCCCTGGTCAAAGTGGTCCCTGGTCAAAGTGGTCTCTGGTCAAAGTGGTCCCTGATCATAGTGGTTCCTGGTCAAAGTGGTCCTGGTCAAAGTGGTCCCTGGTCAAAGTGGTCCCTGGTCAAAGTGGTCCCTGGTCAAAGTGGTCCCTGGTCAAAGTGGTTCCTGGTCAAAGTGGTCCTGGTCAAAGTGGTCCCTGGTCAAAGTGGTCCCTGGTCAAAGTGGTCCTCTTGGTCAAGTGGTCCTGAGTCAAAGTGGTCCCTGGTCAAAGTGGTCCCTGGTCAAGTGGTCCTGGTCAAGTGGTCTCCTGGTCAAAGTGGTCTCTGGTCAAGTGGTCCCTGGTCAAAGTGGTCCCTGGCGTCAAAGTGGTCTCTGGTCAAGTGGTCTCTGGTCAAAGTGGTCCCTGGTCAAAGTGATCCTTGGTCAAAGTGGTCTCTGGTCAAAGTAGTCCCTGGTGAAAGTGTTTCCTCTATTGTTCAAGTATCAAAATACAGTCAAAGTGAATGAGAGGCAAGGAGGAGGCGTGGCCAAAAGAGGGGCGTGGCCAGGTAGGCAAGATCCAGGTGAGAAGGAAGTGGGTCTGCTTATAAGGAAAGTGGGGGGTGGGGGGGTGGAGAGTGGGGCCAATTGAAGGGGCGGGGCCTGATAGAGTGGGCCAGTCCATATTAATTCCAAAACAGGGGTGAAACATCCCATCCCTTCTTACTTACCTTTTCCTCTTTCTTCTTTTCCTTCCCAGCAGGAAAAATAAAAAGTTCTGCAGTTCCTCCTTGGCCAGTGCCCTGCCCAATCCGTTGCCTACGTCATCCCCTTCCAGCCATTTGATTGGCTGCTCCTTGTTTTTTTTTTTTTAATTTCTTTTTCCTCCTCCCACTTTCATGTATTTCACGGAAGGGGAGGGGGGAGGGAAGGGGAGTGTCTGGCTGGACCCAGTGACGTCACAGAGGGAGGCGGGGCTTCCATGCACTTTAGCCAATGGCAACAAAATAGCAAACTGTATATAGTCTCTGGATACAAAATTGCAAACTATAACAGAGAATTGCAAACTCATCCCATGGATATAAAGTTGCAAACTCTTTATTCTGTGGATTTAAAGTTGCAAAACTATAGTAGAAAATTGCAAACTTATCCCATGGATATAAAGTTGCAAACTCTTTATTCTATGGATTTGAAGTTTCAAACTATTACTCTATTGCTTTAGCCTTGCGGACCTTTTCTCTACAGGAGTTGGCTATTTGTTTGAATTCTTCTTTGGTGATTTCTCCCTTTTTCCACTTCTTGTGCATATCTCTTTTAAGTCTTAGCACAGTTAGAAGTTCTTTGGACACTCATTCTGGCTTCTTTGCACTTGTCTTATTTTTTCTCTTTGTTGTAAACTCTTTATTCTATGGATTTAAAGTTGCAAAACTATAATAGAGAATTGCAAACTTATCCCATGGATATAAAGTTGCAAACTCTTTATTCTGTGGATTTAAAGTTGCAAAACTATAATAGAAAATTGCAAACTTATCCCATGGATATAAAGTTGCAAACTCTTTATTCTATGGATTTAATGTTGCAAAATTATAATAGAAAATTGCAAACTTATCCCATGGATATAAAGTTCCAAACTCTTTATTCTGTGGATTTAATCTTTCAAAACTATAATAGAAAATTGCAAACTTATTCCATGGATTTAAAGTTGCAAACTCTTTATTCTGTGGATTTAAAGTTGCAAAACTATAACAGAAAATTGCAAATTTATCCCATGGATTTAAAGTTGCAAACTCTATTTCTATGGATTTAATGTTGCAAAACTATAATAGAGAATTGCAAACTTATCCCATGAATATAAAGTTGCAAACTCTTTATTCTGTGGATTTAAAGTTGCAAAACTATAGTAGAAAATTGCAAACTTATCCCATGGATATAAAGTTGCAAACTCTTTATTCTATAGATTTGAAGTTTCAAACTATTACTCTATTGCTTTAGCCTTGCGGATTCTTCTCTGGTGATTTCTCCCTTTTTCCACTTCTTGTGCATGTCTCTTTTGAGTCTTAGCACAGTTAGAAGTTCTTTGGACATCCATTCTGGCTTCTTTGCACTTGTCTTATTTTTTCTCTTTGTTGTAAACTCTTTATTCTATGGATTTGAAATTGCAAAACTATAATAGAGAATTGCAAACTTATCCCATGGATATCAAGTTGCAAACTCTTTATTCTATGGATTTGAAGTTTCAAACTATTACTCTATTGCTTTAGCCTTGCGAACCTTTTCCCTACAGGAGTTGGCTATTTGTTTGAATTCTTCTTTGGTGGTTTCTCCCTTTTTCCACTTCTTGTGCATGCCTCAAAGTGGTCAAAGTGGTCCCTGGTCAAAGTGGTCTCTGGTCAAAGTGGTCCCTGGTCAAAGTGGTCCCTGGTAAAGTGGTCTCTGGTCACAGTGGTCCCTGGTAAAGTGGTCTCTGGTCACAGTGGTCCCTGGTCAAGTGGTCTCTGGTCAAAGTGGTCTCTGGTCAAAGTGGTCTCTGGTCAAAGAGGTATCTGGTCAAAGAGGTCCCTGGTCAAAGTGGTCCCTGGTCAAAGTGGTCCCTGGTCGTAGTGGTCCCTGGTCAAAGTGGTCCCTGGTCAAAGAGGTCTCTGGTCAAAGTGGTCCCTGGTCGTAGTGGTCCCTGGCCAAAGTGGTCCCTGGTCAAAGTGGTCCCTGGTCAAAGTGGTCCCTGGTCGTAGTGGTCCCTGGTCGTAGTGGTTCCTGGTCGAAGTGGTCCCTGGTCATAGTGATCCTTGGTCATAGTGGTCCTTGGGCATAGTGGTCCCTGGTCAAAGTGATCTCTGATCAAGTGGTCCCTGGTCAAAGTGGCCCGTGTTGGGAACCACTGCTTTAAGGGGATTTTCAGAATGGATTCCCAGCCTCACCATTCTGAAGCCTCAGCAGGTTGCGTCTTTCCAACTGCCCAGAAAAGTTAATAAATTAAAAAAGGAGAGAAGAATGTGAGAAAGATTAAAGATTAAGGCAGCCCGGGCCGAGACAGCGACCTTGACCCACTCTTTCTCAAGAGAGCGCAACCACAATGTCCGGCGTTGAATTTGCTGCTGGCTGGGTTTCGGGTGAGGATTTCCCTTGAAAAAGCTTTCTAAATCTATGGGGTTTTCAATGTGCAGGAAGCAAAATGTACCATAGCTCAATAGCATTGGGATCCTGGGATTTGTAGTTTTCTCCAGGCCTTGAGCCTTGGCACTGCACTGATTCTGGACGGGGACGATGGTAACTCGATTGCCCGAAAGTGAACCCGAATTCTCAATTTCTGTCCGCAGGAGCTGCGGGGCTGATTCTGGGCCACCCCATCGACACAGTCAAGGTGATTTCCTAACGAAACGGGAATGGGAAGTGGAGGGGCATCTACACGGTGGACTTAACCCACTTTTCCTTTTTCTTAGGTGCGTTTGCAAACGCAGGCCGGCTACCAGAACATCCTGGACTGTGTGGTGAAGACCTACCGCCATGAAACGGTTTGCTCTTTTGGGTTTCGGGGGCATTTGGTGCCACAAAATCCAGACTTAGGAGGGCATATTTGGTTCTGCCGAAGCCAAAAGGACTTTGAACTCTTTCCTATAATATCAGTATCCCTTGGTAAACAAAGCAAATGTGCGCATCATCAGCTGAAATTGAAGTAAGCTGAGGATAAAGGGGGCAGAGGAGGAAGAAACCGGGACGTTCAAAAAGCGGAGGAAAACATGGGAAGGCAGAGGAAGTTGTAGTCCAAAAAGAGCCATTTCGCCCCATTGTCAAACCCAGGGGTCCTCAAACTTTTTGAACAGAGGGCCAGGTCACAGTCCGTCAAACTGTTGGAGGGCAGGATTATAATTTGAAAAAAAAAGATGAATGAATACTTATGCACACTGCACATATCTTGGACTCATCGCTGAGCCTGGAACCCCAGGTTTCGGCGGTGACCAGGGGAGCATTTCCACAGCTAAAGCTTGTGCGCCTTGGGAAGTCTGACTTGGCCACGGTAGTCCACGCTCTGGTTACATCCCGCTTACACTACTGCAACGCTCTCTACGTGGGGTTGCCTTTGAAGACTGCTCGGAAGCTTCAAATGGTCCAACGTTCGGCAGCCAGGATACTAACAGGAGCGGCACTCAGGGAGCATACAACTCCTCTGTTGCGCCAGCTCCACTGGCTACCAGTTTGCTACCGGGCACAATTCAAAGTGCTGGCTTTGGCCTATAAAGCCCTAAACAGTTCTGGCCCAACTTACCTATCCGAATGCATCTCCGCCTATGAACCCACCAGGACTTTAAGATCTTCTGGGGAGGCCCTGCTCTCGATCCCGCCTGCATCACAGGCACGTTTGGCGGGGACGAGGGACAGGGCCTTCTCAGTGGTGGCCCCTCGGCTGTGGAACGCCCTTCCCATGGACATTAGCTTGGCCCCCTCATTAATGGTATTTTGAAGAAAACTGAAAACCTGGCTATTTGAACAGGCGTTTGGATAGGCAGTGCAATGAATATAGGGAAACGGAATTACGGATGACGAGTTGAATCATGATTCTATTTATGAGATGCTAATGAGTTGTTTATTGATGTGTAATTACTTGTATATTATGGTGTTAATTGTTTTAAATAGTTTGTATGATGTTAGCATTGAATTTTTGCTCCTGTTGTTAACCGCGTTGAGTCGCCTACGGGCTGAGAAACTGCGGTATACAAATAAAGTAAATAAATAAATAAATAAATAAATAAATAAAATCTTATTGTAATAAGAAAATACAATAATTAAAATGAAGAGCAATTTTAACAAATATAAACTTATTAGTCTTTCAATGGGAAGTGTGGGCCTGCTTTTGGCTGATAGGATAGGATTGTTGTTGTTGTTGTTGTTGTTGTTGTTGTTGTTATTGTGTGCTTTCAAGTCGATCCAGACTTAGCTTGACCCTGAGTGAGGGCCGGATAAATGACCTTGGAGGGCCGCATGTGGCCCGCGGGCCTTAGTTCGAGGACCCCTGGTCTAACCCATAGGTTCCCAAAACATTTGAGGACCCCTGGTCTGACCCTGAGCGAGGGCCGGGTAAATGACCTTGGAGGGCCGCATCCGGCCCGCGGACCTTAGTTCGAGGACCTCTGGTCTAACCTATAGGTTCCCAAAACATTTGAGGACCCCTGGTCTGACCCTGAGCGAGGGCCGGGTAAATGACCTTGGAGGGCCGCATCTGGCCCGCGGGCCTTAGTTCGAGGACCCCTGGTCTAACCCATAGGTTCCCAAAACATTTGAGGACCCCTGGTCTGACCCTGAGCGAGGGCCGGGTAAATGACCTTGGAGGGCCGCATCTGGCCTTAGTTCGAGGACCCCTGGTCTAACCCATAGGTTCCCAAAACATTTGAGGACCCCTGGTCTGACCCTGAGCGAGGGCCGGGTAAATGACCTTGGAGGGCCGCATCCGGCCCGCGGGCCTTAGTTCGAGGACCCCTGGTCTAACCCATAGGTTCCCAAAACATTTGAGGACCCCTGGTCTGACCCTGAGCGAGGGCCGGGTAAATGACCTTGGAGGGCCGCATCCGGCCCGCAGGCCTTAGTTCGAGGACCCCTGGTCTAACCCATAGGTTCCCAAAACATTTGAGGACCCCTGGTCTGACCCTGAGCGAGGGCCGGGTAAATGACCTTGGAGGGCCGCATCTGGCCCGCGGGCCTTAGTTCGAGGACCCCTGGTCTAACCCATAGGTTCCCAAAACATTTGAGGACCCCTGGTCTGACCCTGAGCGAGGGCCGGGTAAATGACCTTGGAGGGCCGCATCTGGCCCGCAGGCCTTAGTTCGAGGACCCCTGGTCTAACCCATAGGTTCCCAAAACATTTGAGGACCCCTGGTCTGACCCTGAGCGAGGGCCGGGTAAATGACCTTGGAGGGCCGCATCCGGCCCGCGGGCCTTAGTTCGAGGACCCCTGGGTCTAACCCATAGGTTCCCAAAGCATTTGAGGACCCCTGGTCTGACCCTGAGCGAGGGCCGGGTAAATGACCTTGGAGGGCTGCATCTGGCCTTAGTTCGAGGACCCCTGGTCTAACCCATAGGTTCCCAAAACATTTGAGGACCCCTGGTCTGACCCTGAGCGAGGGCCGGGTAAATGACCTTGGAGGGCTGCATCTGGCCTTAGTTCGAGGACCCCTGGTCTAACCCATAGGTTCCCAAAACATTTGAGGACCCCTGGTCTGACCCTGAGCGAGGGCCGGGTAAATGACCTTGGAGGGCCGCATCCGGCCCGCAGGACTTAGTTCGAGGACCCCTGGTCTAACCCATAGGTTCCCAAAACATTTGAGGACCCCTGGTCTGACCCTGAGCGAGGGCCGGGTAAATGACCTTGGAGGGCCGCATCCGGGCCTTAGTTCGAGGACCCCTGGGTCTAACCCATAGGTTCCCAAAGCATTTGAGGACCCCTGGTCTGACCCTGAGCGAGGGCCGGGTAAATGACCTTGGAGGGCCGCATCTGGCCTTAGTTCGAGGACCCCTGGTCTAACCCATAAGTTCCCAAAACATTTGAGGACCCCTGGTCTGACCCTGAGCGAGGGCCGGGTAAATGACCTTGGAGGGCTGCATCTGGCCTTAGTTCGAGGACCCCTGGTCTAACCCATAGGTTCCCAAAACATTTGAGGACCCCTGGTCTGACCCTGAGCGAGGGCCGGGTAAATGACCTTGGAGGGCCGCATCCGGCCCGCAGGCCTTAGTTCGAGGACCCCTGGTCTAACCCATAGGTTCCCAAAACATTTGAGGACCCCTGGTCTGACCCTGAGCGAGGGCCGGGTAAATGACCTTGGAGGGCCGCATCTGGCCTTAGTTCGAGGACCCCTGGTCTAATCCATAGATTCCCAAAATGTTTGAGGACCCCTGGTCTGACCCTGAGCGAGGGCCGGGTAAATGACCTTGGAGGGCTGCATCTGGCCTTAGTTCGAGGACCCCTGGTCTAACCCATAGGTTCCCAAAACATTTGAGGACCCCTGGTCTGACCCTGAGCGAGGGCCGGGTAAATGACCTTGGAGGGCCGCATCCGGCCCGCAGGACTTAGTTCGAGGACCCCTGGTCTAACCCATAGGTTCCCAAAACATTTGAGGACCCCTGGTCTGACCCTGAGCGAGGGCCGGGTAAATGACCTTGGAGGGCCGCATCCGGCCCGCGGGCCTTAGTTCGAGGACCCCTGGGTCTAACCCATAGGTTCCCAAAGCATTTGAGGACCCCTGGTCTGACCCTGAGCGAGGGCCGGGTAAATGACCTTGGAGGGCCGCATCTGGCCTTAGTTCGAGGACCCCTGGTCTAACCCATAAGTTCCCAAAACATTTGAGGACCCCTGGTCTGACCCTGAGCGAGGGCCGGGTAAATGACCTTGGAGGGCTGCATCTGGCCTTAGTTCGAGGACCCCTGGTCTAACCCATAGGTTCCCAAAACATTTGAGGACCCCTGGTCTGACCCTGAGCGAGGGCCGGGTATATGACCTTGGAGGGCCACATCCGGCCCGCGGGCCTTAGTTCGAGGACCCCTGGTCTAACCCATAGGTTCCCAAAACGTTCAGTGTTTTGGATTCCAGTTCCTAGAGGCCTCTGTCATATCAGCCCGGAGTCAGGAATTTGGGAGCTTATTTTTTATCATGTCAGAAGCAAATTGAGAGTATATTTATAATGTACTAGCCAACCCCCGCCATGCCTTGCTGTGGCCCTGTCTGTGTATATGTTGCAACTCAGGGTAGTTTTCACCTTGCTCCCAAACACCACCACACTAGAGCTGTAGATTTTGTAGTTTATTGATGAAAAAGGCGAAGTCAAAACATAGAATAAGAAATGCAGAAGTTCCACAAGCAGGACAGAGGCTTAAAGGCAAAACCACAGTTCCCAAGATCCAAAGGCAAAAACATGAAGCATAATCCTTCAATCCATGGTAAAACAGTGAAACACAAGACCCAAAATCCCAGATTCAGGAAGCCAAAAGCATGCTGCTTAAAGCCAAAGTTAATCCATAGAAGTTTGCATGGAAAGAGCCACGTTGAACTGACCACTCCCGTTTGTCAGCCAGAAGGCTAAATACCCTTTGCAATCATGAACACATTGCGATGACCCTTGGCTGACTTGGCTTCTCGCTTACCAGCTAAGCGAGAGCTCCTCCAGACCCTTAATTCTAAGCGTTCTTGCCTGCACATTCTTTCACTCTCTTCAAGGCTCTCTTAATCTTGGTCCAGCTGGACTAGATGACCGTGGGAAGGCTGTGGAGGCAACTCGACTTGGCCGTTATCTATCCCATTCTTGACATTCTTTTCCCCTGAGAACTGGCTTGATGTTTCTCCTGCTGCACCGTCTGAAGCAGGCACAACAGAAATCTGAATCCCATCATCCTCTTCATCAGGGCACTCTGGCTCACAAGACCCACAGGGTTCAGTTTCAGACTTAGAATCAAACAGTATATGTGTTTGTGTGTGTGAGTGTGTGTATTTGTGTTTAGTGTGTGTGTATGTGTGTATATATTTGTATATATGTGTATATATGTGTGTGTTAGCATTTATTTATTTATTTATTTGCAACATTTATATCCCGCCCTTCTCACCCCAAAGGGGACTCAGAGCGGCTTACAAGCGGCTTATATACATACATAGAATCATAGAATCCAAGAGTTAGAAGAGACCTCATGGGCCATCCAGTCCAACCCCATTCTGCCAAGAAGCAGGAATATTGCATTCAAATCACCCCTGACAGATGGCCATCCAGCCTCTGTTTAAAAGCTTCCAAAGAAGGAGCCTCCACCACACTCCGGGGCAGAGAGTTCCACCGCTGAACGGCTCTCACAGTCAGGAAGTTCTTCCTTGTGTTCAGATGGAATCGCCTCTCTTGTAGTTTGAAGCCATTGTTCCGCGTCCTAGTCTCCAAGGAAGCAGAAAACAAGCTTGCTCTCCTCCTCCCTGTGGCTTCCTCTCACATATTTATACATGGCTATCATATCTCCTCTCAGCCTTCTCTTCTTCAGGCTAAACATGCCCAGTTCCCTAAGCCGCTCCTCATAGGGCTTGTTCTCCAGACCCTTGATCATTTTAGTAGCCCTCCTCTGGACACATTCCAGCTTGTCAATATCTCTCTTGAATTGTGGTGCCCAGAATTGGACACAATATTCCAGGTGTTGTCTAACCAAAGCAGAATAGAGGGGTAGCATTACTTGTTAGCGCTAGCAGAAGTATCACAGAAGCTAAGAATAATGGACTCTGGAGTCACTGGTAAAAAGCAGGTTTCAGCTTTACTTGAGCAGTTCATAAATCCAACACACACCATCAGAGAAGCAGACGTGAAGAACACAAAGCGAAAGAGATAGGCACTAAAGACAAACTGCAGCTGGAAAGGAGTTATCTCTGACACTCCCTAATTCTTCACACAGCGTGAACTCAGGGTCACATTCTCACAGCTTGATTCATTTGCTGTTTAACTCTTCCGTGTAAACATACATCCTGGCCATACAAATCTATTACACTCACTATTCTCCTACATAAAATTACATTTAAACATACATCATACATGAAATACACACTGACATTACTTCCCTAGATCTAGACACTATGCTCCTATTGATGCAGGCCAAAATCCCATTGGCTTTTTTTGCCGCCACATCACATTGTTGGCTCATGTTCAACTTGTTGTCCACGAGGACTCCAAGATCTTTTTCACAAGTACTGCTCTCGAGCAGTATAGACTCGAGTATAAGCCGACCCAAATATAAGCCAAGGCACGTAATTTTACCACAAAAAACAGGGGAAACACATTGAAATTAGACTAGATTTCCATTGACCAGAAGATGGCCACTTGGAGTGCCTCTGAGAAGGTCCTCCATTGTGGATGTGGCAGGGCACAGACCGCATTGTTGTCAGTGGTCTGTGGTTTGCACTTCTCCACACTCGCATGTTGTGGACTCCACTTTGCGGCCCCATTTCTTAAGGTTGGTATTGCACCCTGTGGTGCCAGAATGCAGTCTGTTCGGCACCTTCCAAGTCGCCTAAACTTTTTATGTGCCCAGGAGGGAGTTTCTCATCCGGTCTCAGCTACGGATTGAGGTTCCAGGTATTAGCCTGCCACTTTTGGACTCTCGCTTGCTGAGGTTTTCCTGCGAGTATCTTTGTAGATCTTTGAAGTCGCAAATAGTTGGAGGATCAAGGACTGGGAACAATAGGATTGTTTGTTCCTCCTTTGCAGTTCCGGGGCTTCTTCAAAGGGATGAGCTTCCCGTTGCTCACCGTGGCCGCTGTCAACTCTGTCATGTTTGGGGTGTACAGCAATGCCCTCTTTTACCTCTCCGGCACCCCGCTTCTCGACCGCCACTCCAACCCCCCCAGCTATCTCCATATCTTTATGGCAGGTGGCATCTCTGGCATAGCACAGGTAAGAATGCGTTAAGGCAGCCTTTCTCAACCTGGGGGTCAGGACCCCTAGGAGGGTAACCAGGGGGTGTCAGAGGGGTCACCAAAGACCATCAGAAAACACAGTATGTTCTGTTGGTCATGGGGGTTCTGTGTGGGAAGTTTGGCCCAATTCCATCATTGGTGGGGTTCAGAATGCTCTTTGACTGTAGGTGAACTATAAATCCCAGAAACTACAACTCTAAAAGGCCAATGTCTATTTTCCCCAAACTCCACCAGTGTCCACATTTGGGCATATTGAGTATTTGTGCCAAATTTTGTCCAGATCCATCATTGTTTGAGTCCACAGTGCTCTCTGGATGGAGGTGAACTACAACTCCCAAACTTAAGGTCAGTGCCCACCAAAGCCTCCCAGTATTTTCTGTTGGTCATGAGGATTTTCTGTGGGAAGTTAGGCCCACTTCTATTGTTGGTGGGGTTCAGAATGCTCTTTGACTGTAGGTGAACTATAAATCCCAGCAACGACAACTCCCAAATGCCAATGTCTATTTCCCCAAAACTCCACCAGTGTCCACATTTGGGCATATTGAATATTCATGCCAAATTTGGTCCAGATCTATAATTGTTTGTGTCCACAGTGCTCTCTGGATGGAGGTGAACTACAACTCCCAAACTCAAGGTCAATGCCCACCAAACCCTTCCAGTATTTTCTGTTGGTCATCGGAGTTCTGTGTGCCAAGTCTGGTTCAATTCCATCATTGATGGAGTTCAGAATGCTCTTTGATTATTGCTGAACTATAAATCCCAGCAACTACAATTCCCAAATGACAAAATCAACCCCCCCAAACCCCACCAGTATTCAAATCGGGTATTTGCTTTGTCCTTCTCCACTCCTTCCTCTGTATTTTCTCTTCTTCTCCTCTTCCTCTCTTCTTCTTCTCATTGTCCTTCTCCACCTCTTCCTCCATATTTTCTCGTCCTTCTCTTCTTCTCTTTCTCCACCTCCTTATCCTCTTCTCCTCTTCTCCTATGTCCTTCTCTATTTCTTTTTCCTTCTCCATTTCTTCCTCCACATTTCCTCTTCCTTGTCTTCTTCTCCTTCTCTGCCTCCTTCTCTGCCTCCTTCTCCAATTCCTCTCATCTTCTTCTCTTCCTCTCCTTCTCCTCTTCATCCTCCTCTACCTCTTCCTCCTCCACATTTTCTCTTTGTCTTTCTTCTCTTCTTCGCCTTCTCCTTCTCCTTCTACATCTCCTTCTCCTCTTCATCTCCTCTCCTTCTTCTCCACCTTCTCCTCTTCCTCTCCTCTTCCTCTCTTTGTCCTTCTCCACCTCTTCATATTTTCTCTTTCTTTTCCTTCTCTCCTTCTCCTTCCCCTCTTCATCTCCTTCTCTTCCTCCTCTCCTCCTTCTCTTTGTCCTTCTCCACTCCTTCCTCTGTATTTTCTCTTCTTCTCCTCTTCCTCTCTTCTTCTTCTCATTGTCCTTCTCCACCTCTTCCTCCATATTTTCTCGTCCTTCTCTTCTTCTCTTTCTCCACCTCCTTCTCCTCTTCCTCTCCTGTTCTTCTTCTCTTTGTCCTCCTCCACCTCTTCCTCCATATTTTCCCTTCCTTTTTCTTCTCTTCTTTTCCTTCTCCACCTCCTTCTCCTCTTCTTCTCTTCCTCCTCTTCTTCTCTTTGTCCTTCTCCACCCCTTCCTCTGTATTTTCTCTTCTTCTCCACCTTCTTCTCCTCTCCCTCTCTTCTTCTTTTTCTCTCCCTCCTCTCCTCCTCTTTGTCCTCAATTTCTACACCTTCTACACCTCATTCTCCTCTTCGTCTCCTCTCCTTCTTCTCCACCTTCTTCTCTTCTTCCTCTCTTCTTCTTCTCTTTGTCCTTCTCCACCTCTTCATATTTTCTCTTTCTTTTCCTTCTCTCCTTTTACTTCTCCTCTTTCTCTCCTCCTCTTCTCCTTCCTTTTGTCCTTCTCCACCTCTTCCTCCTCCACATTTTCTCTTCTCCTCCTCCTCCTCTTTCTCTCCTCTTCTCCACCTCTTCCTGTGTTTTCTCCTTTTCCACCTCCTTCTAATCTTCTCCTCCACTTCTTTTTCTCTTCCTCCTCCTCCTCTTTGTCCTTCTCCACCTCTTCTTCCATATTTTCTCTTCCTCTTCCTTCTCTTCTTTCCTTCTCCTTCTCCACCTCCTCTTCCTCTCCTCTTCTTCTCTTCCTCCTCTCCTCCTTCTCTTTGTCCTTCTCCACCTCCTCCACATTTTCTCTTCCTTCTCTTCTTCTCCTTCTCCACCTCCGTCTCATCTTCTTCTCTCCTCCTCCTTTCTTCCCTGGGCCTCCATTTATTTTGTGTGTTTTGCGGTGCAGGCTTTGGTCTTGGCCCCGGTGGATCTCGTCAAAGTCCGGCTCCAGAACCAGACCCACTTCCACGGCTCCAAAGCGGTCCAGCCGCGTTACCGGGGTCCGGTCCACTGCTCCGCCTGCATCCTCCACGAAGAAGGCTTCCGAGGCTTGTTCCGGGGTGGAATGGCGCTCATCCTGCGTGACACTCCGACCCTGGCGGCCTACTTTACCACCTATATGGCATTGTGCCGGGGGATGACCACTGAAGGCCAGGAGCCAGGTGAGGACTGTTATAGAGCTAAAAGTTTAGGGGTCTTTGCCAGGAGGCAGAGACCAATTAGACTCATCAAAGAGTTCTTTTTCCCTGGCGAGACAGAGAAGCATCCCATATTTTTCCCTGATTTCCCAATGAAAAGTCTCACCAGTTGAAGAAAAGCCATCGAGGTTTAATGTGATTCAGCTGGAACGGATGCAAAGCTGCAATCATTTGCCAAAGCTAAGCATGAGGGGAGTACACCAATACAGTCATATTTATAGCAAATTCAAAGTTGCAGAGTTCAAACTCCCCGCCCCCGGTGCCTCTGGACCAATCAGGAAGCTCCAGTGGTCCATAGGATCCAATGGGGAGACCTCTGCCACCTGGTGGCAACAGCAAATCAAGAGAGAGTGAGAGAGGCGGGATGAGGGAACACAATAGAGTCTATGAATGAATGTTGAAAAAAAGGAAATGCCATGTGGCCTGCGAGACAAAGGAAAAGTCTCAAAACAGGGCTAGTCTATTGTAAGGTCAATGAAAAAGGGAAAAGCCTTTGCCACGAGGAAATCATGAAATATATATTATGTGTCCATAGTTCATATTATTCATAGGAAGGTCCATAAAGGGAAATATCGATGAGGGGGAAAGAGAGCCCCTAGTTTGTGAGGTGGGGGACCCTCAGGAGCTCAGGTGTGCCTCAGGTGGGAAAATTCAAATACTGCTGTGGCATGATTTTCAGTAATAAATTGGTTACCTTCTGCTATAAACATATGAAAATAGGGCATAACGCCTTGATTAAATGGTACACACCAAACTGACCAAGGCTTAACCCTTATTATCCAGCCTGGTGCCCTTGCCCTTAGCAAAACTACATCCCATAATACTCTCTCCGGTCTCAGAGGGAAACTGGGATGAAGCACAGGTCTCCTTCTCTTTTCCCCGCAGGTCCTGTAGTGGTCCTGGTCGCCGGCGGCTTTGCGGGTACCGTCTCCTGGGCGCTGGCCACCCCGATGGACGTGGTCAAGGCCCGCTTGCAGATGGACGGAGTCAAGCGGGTGGAATACCGGGGGATCATGGACTGCTTCCTCACCAGCTTCCGGAGGGAAGGGGCCCGGGTTTTCCTTCGGGGCCTCTCCCTCAACAGCCTCCGGGCTTTTCCCGTCAATGCCGTGACCTTCCTGACCTATGAGAACCTCCTCAAACTCCTCCGTTAACGTGGGGGTGTGTCTACACTGCAGAGTTAACACAGTTTAGTACCAATTCCACTGCCAAGGGATCCTGAGAATTAGATCCATGTCGAAGGCTTTCATGGCCGGAATCACTGGGTTGCTGTGAGTTTTGCAGGCTGTATGGCTATGTTCCAGAAGCATTCTCTCCTGACATTTCACCCACATCTATGGCAGGCATCCTCCGAGGTTGTGAGGTCTGATGGAAACTAGACAAGTGAGGTTTATATATCTGTGGAGTGTCCAGGGTGGGAGAAAGAACTCTTGTCTGTTGGAGCTAGGTGTGAATGTTGCAATTGGCCACCTTGATTAGCTTGAATGGCCTTGCAGGTTCAAAGCCTGGCTGCTTCCTTTCTGGGGGGGGGGGTCCTTTGCTGGGAGGTGTTAGCTGGCCCTGATTGTTTCACAGCAACCTAGTGAAAGCCTTCCACAACATAGTATTTCCAGTTTTGGATGTGATTGCAGTTGGTGTTTCTGCCCACTGGGTGGCAGCAGATGACAATAAATGGAACTTACAGATTTTGACCCATGTTCTTAATGTGTAATAGAATCATAGAATCAAAGAGTTGGAAGAGACCTCATGGGCCATCCAGTCCAACCCCATTCTGCCAAGAAGCAGGAATATTGCATTCAAATCACCCCTGACAGCTGGCCATCCAGCCTCTGTTTCAAAGCTTCCAAAGAAGGAGCCTCCACCACACTCCGGGGCAGAGAGTTCCACTGCTGAACGGCTCTCACAGTCAGGAAGTTCTTCCTCATGTTCAGATGGAATCTCCTCTCTTGTAGTTTGAAGCCATTGTTCCGCGTCCTTGTCCCCAGGGAAGCAGAAAACAAGTTGCTCCTTCCTCCCTGTGGCTTCCTCTCACATATTTATACATGGCTATCATATCTCCTCTCAGCCTTCTCTTCTTCAGGCTAAACATGCCCAGCTCCTTAAGCCGCTCCTCATAGGGCTTGTTCTCCAGACCCTTGATCATTTTAGTCGCCCTCCTCTGGACACATTCCAGCTTGTCAATATCTCTCTTGAATTGTGGTGCCCAGAATTGGACACAATATTTCTGGTGTGGTCTAACCAAGGCGGAATAGAGCATGGGGAGCATGACTTCCTTAGATCTAGACACTATGCTCCTCTTGATGCAGGCCAAAATCCCATTGGCTTTTTTTGCCGCCACATCACATTGTTGGCTCATGTTTAACTTGTTGTCCACGAGGACTCCAAGATCTTTTTCACACGTACTGCTCTCGAGCCAGGCAGTGTCCCCCATTCTGTATCTTTGCATTTCGTGTTTCCTGCCAAAGTGGAGTATCTTGCATTTGTCACTGTTGAACTTCATTTTGTTAGTTTTGGCCCATCTCTCTAATCTCTCAAGATCGTTTTGAATCCTGCTCCTGTCCTCTGGAGTATTGGCTATCCCTCCCAATTTGGTGTCGTCTGCAAACTTGATGATCATGCCTTCTAGCCCTTCATCTAAGTCATTAATAAAGATGTTGAACAGGACCGGGCCCAGGACGGAACCCTGCTTGTGGCACTCCACTTGTCACTTCTTTCCAAGATGAAGAGGAAGCGTTAGTGAGCACCCTCTGGGTTCGTCCGTTTCACCAATTACAGATCCACCTCACCGTAGTTTTGCCTAGCCCACAGGTAGGAGTGATGGGGGTTGGGGAGGGAAATTAGGAGTTTCTAGACCATCATCTGGCCTACAGACATGGAAGGGAGGAAGCATTCAGATGTCCTTCTCTCCAAACCACGGCTACGATTGGCTGGTGATCTTCCTCCAATCCAAGCCAAGTTCTGCTCCTCCAGATGTTTTGGATTTTCCCCTAATTGCTGATCAAAGGCAGCTGAGACTATCTGGAGTTGGAGGCCAACCATCCCTGCAGGACTAGAGCTTGGGAATGGCCGTGCTCAGCTTTCTTTCCTTTTGTGCCCTGAACCCAGGACTCCCCACAACGGGTTTTGCCCCCATTTGGCTCCGCAATTAAGCAGAGTTTTCCAAGGGCAGTTTAGGAAGTGATACTCTGTGTGCAGAGGAGGAAATTGGAGGGAGAGACGATGGAGTAAGGCAGCCACTCAGCCAATGTCAACAAAGGTAAGCTGTGAGCATATTTATCTATATAAATAAAAATATAATGTTCTAGGTTCTTGTGGGATTTTTCGGGCTATATGGCCATGTTCTAGAGGCATTTCTCCTGACATTTCGCCTGCATCTATGGCAAGCATCCTCAGAGGTTGAGGTCTGTTGGAAGTAGGAAAATGGGTTTATATATCTGTGGAATGGCTGGGGTGGGGCAAAGAGCTTTTCTCTGCTGGAGCTAGGTGTGAATGTTTCAACTGACCACCTTCATTAGCATTTGACGGCCTGGCTGAGCCTGGGAAAATCTTTTGTTGAGAGGTGTTAAGATGTGCCTGGTTGTTTCCTCTCTGTTTTTGCTGTTGTAATTTTAGAGTTTTTTTCTTAATACAGGTAGCCAGATTTTGTTCATTTTCATGGTCTCCTCCTTTCTGTTGAAATTGTCCACATGCTTGTGGATTTCAATGGCTTCTCTGTGTAGTCTGACATGGTGGTTGTTGGTGTGGTCCAGCATTTCTGTGTTCTGCGCCTGGTTGTTTCCTCTCTGCTGTTTTGCTGTTGTAATTTTAGAGTTTTTTTAATGTCAGTCTACACAGAGAAGCCATTGAAATCCACAAGCATGTGGACAATTTCAACAGAAAGGAAGAACCATGAAAATGAACAAAATCTGGCTACTACCAGTGTTAAAAAACTCTAAAATTACAACAGCAAAACAACAGAGGGGAAAAAACAGGACATCTAATCACCTCTCAACAAAAGATTGCCCAGGCACTGCCAGGCTTCAAATGCTAATCAAGGTGGTCAGTTGAAACATTCACACCTAGCTCCAGCAGACAAGAGCCATTTGTCCCACCCTGGTCATTCCACAGATATATAAACCCTTTTTCCTAGTTCCAACAGACCTCACTACCTCTGAGGATGCTTGCCATAGATGCAGGTGAAACGTCAGGAGAAATGCCTCTAGAACATGGCCATATAGCCCAAAAAATCCCACAAGAACTTAGTGATTCCAGCCATGAAAGCCTTTGACAATATAATGTTTGTTTGTGGGTTTAACATAACTCAAAAACCACTGGACAAATTGTCACTAAATTTGGACACAATACATGTATCAGGCCAACGAGTGACCATCACGCATAAAAACACTGAAAAACACAGCAGAAGAGACTTAAAATGACCCCCAAAAAACCCAAAAATACATTACAACGCATGCGCAAAACCATATATATATATACACAAACACACACATGTACTCACATCTATGCATATACACACACAAAACACATGTACAGAAAGGGGGAAGGAAGGAAGGAAAGAAGGAGGGAGGGAAGGAGGGAAAGAAGGAAAGAAAGAAGGAAAGAAAAAGGGAAGAGAAGGAAGTAGAGAAGGAGGGAGAGAAAGAGGGAGAGAAGGAGGGAAGGAGAGAAGGAAAGAGAGAAGGGTAGAGAAGGAAGGAAGTAGAGAAGGAGGGAGAGAAAGAGGGAGAGAAGAGAAAGAAGGAGGGAAGGAGAGAAGGAAGGAAAGAAGGGTAGAGAAGGAAGGAAGGAAGGAGAGAAGGAGGGAGAGAAAGAGGGAGGGAAGGAGAGAAGGAAGGAAAGAAGGATAGAGAAGGAAGGAAGGAGAGAAGGAGGGAAGGAGAGAAGGAAGGAAAGAGAGAAGGGTAGAGAAGGAAGGAAGTAGAGAAGGAGGGAGAGAAAGAGGGAGAGAAGAGAAAGAAGGAGGGAAGGAGAGAAGGAAGGAAAGAAAGGGTAGAGAAGGAAGGAAGTAGAGAAGAGAGAGGAAGAAGGAGGGAGGGAAGGAAAGAAGGATAGAGAAGGAAGGAAGGAGAGAAGGAGGGAAGGAGAGAAGGAAGGAAAGAGAGAAGGGTAGAGAAGGAAGTAGAGAAGGAGGGAGAGAAAGAGGGAGAGAAGAGAAAGAAGGAGGGAAGGAGAGAAGGAAGGAAAGAAAGATAGAGAAGGAAGGAAGGAGAGAAGGAGGGAGAGAAAGAGGGAAAGAAGGAGGGAAGGAGGAAGGAAAGAAAGGTAGAGAAGGAAGGAAGGAGAGAAGGAAATAAAAAAGTGAAAGAAGGAGGAAGAAAAGGAACGAAAGAGAGAAAGAGGGAGAGGAGGAAAGAAAGAGACAAGGAAGGATGGAACCAAAGAGCAAAGGAAGCGAGAAAAGAAACAGAGAAGGAAGAAAGAAGAATGAAAAGAAAAAGAGGGAAAGAAGGAAAGAGGGAGAGAAGGAAGGTTAGGAAAAATGGAGAGAAAGAGGGAGGGAAGGTTGGTCACAGCAACGCATGGCGGGTACAGCTAGTATGTATATAAAAATGTCATGTTCGTTTGTGGGATTAACATAACTCAAAAACCACTGGATGAATTGCCACCAATTTTGGACACAAGACACCTCTCAGGCCAACGAGTGGCCATCACTCAAAAAACATAGATTTCATCATTTGGGAGTTGTAGTTGCTGGGATTTACAATTCAGCTACAATCAAAGAGCATTCTGAACCCCACCAACGATGAAACTGAACCAAACTTGGCACATAGGACTCCCACAATCATCATAGATGAACTCGTCAGCATAGATAGACCCTAAAGCTTTGGAGAGCTGCTCAACCATTTCAAAGCTCGTCGCTTGGACGGTGATGGCACAATCGCCAGCATAGATTAAACTAAAGCTTTGGAGAGCTCCCACTCAACCATTTCAATGCTAGCCACTTGGACGGTGATGACACGATTGTCAGCATAGATGAAACTCTAAAGCTTTGGAGAGCTTCTGCTCAACCCTTTCATAGCTCGCTGCTTGGGCAGTTTCGGCACGATCGTCAGCACTGATGAAACTAAAGCTTAGGAGAGCTTCCGCTCAACCATTTCAAAGCTCGCCACTTGGATGGTGATGGCACGATCGTCAGCATAGATGGAACTCTAAAGCTTTGGAGAGCTTCTGCTCAACCATTTCAAAGCTTGCTGCTTGGGCAGTGATGGCATGAT